TTACATATCATTACTGGCCATACCCAGCTCCTTGTTTTTACACCATCCATACAAAACTGATGGGGACATAGGGATCCCCAAAAATGCAAGGGTGAAAACAATGCAGAATTAAAGAAGAATACAGATTTTTTTTTTCCCCCATGCAGTGGGGCCATGCCAGCACTGCATGGGTTAACTCATTTTTGTCTAGGGGAGAACAGAGCAGGAAGTTAACAGCTCACAAGATTTCTGGCAGGATGAAAAGATTTTTTTTTTTTTTTACACTTGTCACGCAGATATAGTAAAATGCCTCCAGTCATCTACTTAACAGACCAAAAGGAAACAAAATAAGAGAAATGTATTGTCAGAAACTGATATAGACTTTAAGGAGCCATCCATTTATTGGTTTCAGGCATGAAATGATGGCTCCTTAAGTCTGCCCCAATGTTCCCTGACTTCTGAAAAGCACCCTCAATGGCAGGTTTGAGAATACTGAGCTTTGTGGTTCACATCAAACCATCTGCATGCAATAATGTGGCAGCAGTAAGCTACTCAGCCCCTTGATTTAGATTTTTCCATTGACATAGGCATGAAAAATGCATGTACATGTTTTGTGTTTAACAAGTCGCCAATGCCTACCAAAAAAAAAAAAGAAACTGCAGCATGAAAACGCATAAAAAATAACAATACCCACTGTTTTCAAAGAAAGTACATTCCATTAAAAGTAACTTCTGGCTCCTCATGAATTTGTCCGACCTTGGTGTAAATTTCTGGCCTTTTTTTGCTGTGAAACACATGGTTTTTTCATACAGATCTACACATGGACTCTAGGACTTATGTTAATGTAGCAGTGCAAAGAGCAATGATGTTGAGTTGCACTACCCACCACTAATATCTGGGTGGGGGATACGCACACAGTCTCTAGTTGATGCACATGTCTCATGGTCCTTTGTGCATAATCGCCTTGATAAACTGAATGCAAAATTAAAGTGAACATCCCCTTAATACGTCGCCCATGCTAAATAAATGCACTTATGGAAGCCAATAAACGTACAAATAGGAACGCTTCCATCTTTGTTATATTGCCTCTTTCCCACATATTTTTCCTGCCTGGGCTCCACACACCATTTAAAAAATATATCATCATCAGTGTGCAGCCTCTATCTTTCTCTGTGCCAGCCCACCAATGACATTTTTTCCTGACCTGGCCTGACTTGTTATAATTCAATACCAAGCCATGCCAGAATTTGCAAAGCACACTCATCAGATCATTTAAGATATGTGCCAAGCAGGAACTGGCAAGGCTATTGTTCAACAAGTCGAGCTGGATGTCATATGGCACATGCGTCAGATCAGGCAAGATCCCCCTATAAAGCACTGGTAACGTAGCCTTCCCAGGGGTTATGTCCCCAGTAGACATGAGCTTGGGCATGTTGGGATGCTCTTCCGAACCCACGTGGCCAAGCTCACCAGAAAGCTGTCACTTGCAATGGGCCAATCATCTACAGTAGAGGCACTCTACGCCTAACAGCCACAGGTATACCTGCAATTGTGGAGCAGTGAATGCTCCCTTACAGATTGGTCCATTGCAGCTGACAGCTTTCTGCCAGGATCAGTCACGTGGGTTTGGAAGAGCATCAGAACATGGCACAGCCAGGGGCAGACTGACAAATCATGTGGGCCCCGGGCAATAGGGGATCATGGGGTCCCTGCGTCCTCGCCCACACTCAAACCACACCCAAAAAAGCCTATGAAAGGTACCAGGGGCATCTCATGGGGCCCTCTACTGACCCCGGGCCGTGCCCGATTTCCCAAATGGTCAGTCCGCCCCTGGGCACAGCTCATCTCTAGTCACCAGTGCCTACAGAAAACCGGGAAGTAAAAAAAAAAAAAAAAAAAAATCTAAGTTCACCGTTACAAAAAAATGTCTATGCAGGCATGGGAAGCCAGGAGATAAAACCAAACTGTGCAGCTTTGACTAAAGTTAGATAATGCCCTTGCTATAGGTGTAGGCCATCCACATACCTCTCGAAGCCTGGCTGAAAACTCCCAGAGACAGCACCCACCTGAACTGCCTTGTTACAAGGACGTTGCCAAGACACTCCCAGCTGTTACTGCTCATCGGCAACATTAGGGGATCGAGCTCCCAAACCACTACACATGCGCAGTTCATCATCTCCTCCTTCACAGCATCACTAAGTTCAGACAACACATGCAAAGAGGTTTGTGTCAGAGGAAGAGCTTGCTCCTGTGATGGGATGTGAGCAGTAATGGCCAGGAGCATCTTAGCAACAAGGCAGCAGGGATGAACTTGGGCATGTTTGAATAAACCCCTGGTTTATATGTGGCTGCAGGGTGGGGAATGCCTCTGCCGCTTATGATTTGATGTCTGCAATGACAGCTTTCTGGCAGACTTGTGTACAAACAAGGCAATAGAGGGGACCACATCTCTTTCCAGTCAAGCGTCAGGAGATACGTAGATGGCCTACACCAATAGCAAGGGCATTATCCAACTTTAGTCAAAGCTACACAGTACAGTACCTTGAAAAAGTATTCATACCCCTTGAAATTTTCCACATTTTGTCATGTTACAACCAAAAACATAAATGTATTTTATTGGGATTTTATGTGATATGTGCCACTTTGTGTTGGTCTAATTGTGAAGTGGAAGAAAAATGATAAATGGTTTTAACATGCATTTGTATTCAGCCCTCTTTACTATGATACTCCTAACTAAAATCTAGTGAAACAAATTGCCTTCAAAAGTCACCTAATTAGTAAATAGAGTCCACCTGTCTGTAATTTAATCTCAGTATAAATACATCTGTTCTGTGAAGCCCTCAGAGGTTTGTTAGAAAACATTAGGGAACAAACAGCATGATGAAGGCCAAGAAACACACCAGAAAAGTCAGGGATAAAGTTGTGGAGAAGTTTAAAGCAGGGTTAGGTTATAAAAAAAATATCCCAAGCTTTGAACATCTCACGGAGCACTGTTCAATCCATCATCCAAAAATGGAAAGAGTATGGAACAACTACAAACCTACCAAGACATGGCCGCCCACCTAACCTGACAGGCCAGGCAAGGAGAGCATTAATCAGAGAAGCAGCCAAGAGGCCCATGGTAACTCTGGAGGAGGTGCAGAGATCCACAGCTCAGGTGGGAGAATCTGTCCACAGGACAACTATTAGTCGTGCACTCCACAAATCTGGCCTTTATGGAAGAGTGGCAAGAAGAAAGCCATTGTTGAAAGAAAGCCATAAGAAGTCCTGTTTGCAGTTTGTGAGAAGCCATGTGGGGGACACAGCAAACATGTGGAAGAAGGTGCTCTGGTCAGTTGAGACCAAAATTGAACTTTTTGGCCTAAAAGCAAAACACTATGTGTGGCGGAAAACTAACACTGCACATCACCCTGAACACACCATCCCCACTGTGAAACATGGTGATGGTAGCATCATTTTGTAGGGATGCTCTTCTTTATCAGGGAAGCTGAAGAGTTTATGGGAAAATGAAAGGAGCCAAATACAGAGCAATCTTAGAAGATAACCTGTTAAGAGACTGCAAAAGACTTGAGTGGGGCAGAGGTTCACCGTCCAGCAGGACAACGGCCCTAAACATACAGCCAGAGCTACAATGGAATGGTTTAGATCAAAGCATATTCATGTATTAGAATGGCCAGTCAAGGTCCAGACCTAAATCCAATTGAGAATCTGTGACATGACTTGAAAAGTGCTGTTCACAGACACTCTTCCATCCAATCGGACAGAGCTTGAGCTATTTTGCAAAGAAGAATGGGCAGAAATGTCACTCTCTAGATGTGCAAAGCTGGTAGAGACATCCCCAAAAAGACTTGCAGCTGTAATTGCAGCGCGAAAGGTGGTTTTACAAAGTATTGACTCAGGGGGCTGAATACAAATGCACCCCACACTTTTCAGATATTTGTAAAAAATAATATTAAAAACCATTTATCATTTTCCTTCCACTTCACAATTATGTGCCACTTTGTGTTACTCTATCACATACAATACCAATAAAATACATTTACGTTTTTGGTTGTAACATGACAAAATGTGGAAAGGGTATGAATACTTTTTCAAGGTACTGTATCTACAAAGGCCCCTTGTCTGTATGGGTAGTTTTTCTGGTAAAAGTGAACACTAGATCTTTGATTCTACAAATGAATTTAGGAATGTTTGGAGCTGAACGCACCATAGAATTTATTCTTCAGGTTTATAAAAAACGATATGCTGTATGGATCTGAATGCAGTGGTTCTTACACCCATGTGCATAAGCCCTAAAAGAAGAGTGTCTCACATATGTCCATGGGAGAGTCAGAGCAATAGATCGGACATCAGGAGACATTCACATCATTCCATCCCTGATTTCATCAACATTAGACCACCAGCAAATCATTGGGGATATCTCGGGTCTGGACAGTACATATTCCAAAATAAACTGGAATACAGAATATGGCTTCACCTTACCAGACCATTCCATCACAAACCCATATAGAACAGGATCTACTAAGAGATGTATGGAGGATGACTACAAACACCTGGTGTTCCAACCCAACAATCCAGGCCATCCCGACATCAGAAGACCTCCAAATCCCATATGTACTAGGCATGGGATGATGACAATGGTATCCACAGACAAATGCCTTCACTATTCAGGAGGAAAGGCCCACTGACTGGAGGAGCAGCACAGGTGTCATACATACCTACATCATATGACCTGATACAGCAAGGACTGAAGAGCTGACAATCACCACACAGGTCTCCAGCTGGACCTGACCCCAATATCGATGTGTATTAGGAGATGAGCCCCAGGTCACATGACTGAGCTCCTCTAGGAAGTAGTGTCCTCGTCAGCCTGCACTGGGGACAATGACAGCACTTTACCTGTCCGCCCTCCACCCGCAATAGACAGGACACCGACCTGGGGACACCAGCAGCCCGGCTCCTCATGGCACTGCAACAAGCTCCCATTGTCAGTATGCCCGCACACCTGTCCTCACACTCACCCTCCTCCCGCTCTCTGTAGCCGGCTGCTATTCCTACGGAGGAGGCTGCAGCACCGCGTCCAGCAGATCCCCATGGCATACTGGCCCGGGAGCGCACACAGCAAACACGGGGACGCGCCTATGCGCGCTCTACTCCTCACAGGAGACCTTCCGTGTGCGCGCCCCCGTACACCGGCACTCCAGACTCATGGTGGGGGCGGAGGGAAGTGATGTGTGTGGAATAGGGAATGGGCGGGGCGTCACCTCAGGGGAGCTAGAAGGATACGTGTGTGGTTACAGGAAGTCTGCAGGCGCCTGTACTGGGCCTTCGGTAGGAGTGTGAAGGATCCTTCTCTGTACAGGGGTGGGGGAACAACTTCCCTGTAGGGACTCTTTTTTTTTTTTTTTTTTTTTTTTTTTTTTTTTTGCGGGGAGGAGGTGCAGTTTCCCTGTACAGGGCTTAAGGTGTAAAAGATTCTCTGTATATGGCTGGGGGGGGGCACTAACAGGAGGCACAACTTCCCTATTCTAGGTTCATATGGGGGACTGAGGGAGCTTTGTGGTGGTGCAGTACTGGACACATGGGTGGGGGCAGTTTCACGTGGTGGGGGAGAATTGAGGGATCAGTGGTGTTTGATCGTTCACTTCTTACTGCAGAGTTAGAATGATAGTTTTGTTTTTTTTAAGTCCATACTTTTAATTTAATCACTTGCCTACAGGGCACTGATACCCCCTTCCTGCTCAGGACAATTTTCAGCTTTCAGCGCTGTCACACTTTGACAATTGCACGGTCATGCAACACTGTACCCATATGAAATGTTTATCATTTTTTTGAGACAGCTTTCTTTTGGTGATATTTAATTTTTTTAAAAAACGTTTTTTTTCTTAGTTTTTGTTATAAAATTTTGTATATAAGTTATTTTTCTCCTTCACTGATGTATGCTAGTGAGGCTGCACTGATGGGCACTGATAGGCTGCACTGATGAGGCACTGGTAGGTAGCACTGATGGGCATTGACAGGCATCACTGATGGGCACTGAAAGGCAGCACTCATATATGGCACTGATAGGCGGCACTGATAGGCAGCACTGACTGGCATTGATACGTTGTATTGAAAGGCAGCTCAGATGGGCACTGATATGTGGCATTGATGTCCACTGGTAGGCACTGATATGTGGCATTGATGAGCACTGGCAGCTGGCATTGATGGACACTGACAGGTGGCACTGCTGGGGCTCACTGATCATCAGGGCACACTGATCATCAGTGCCCTGATGATCAGTGTAAATGTCCACTCTGAGGAATGCCGATTACCGGCTCTCCTGTCGAGCTGTCAGCATGACAGCTCATGAGGAGAGAAATGCTGATAATCGGCATTTCCCTATTTACATGTGATTGGACATGGCTGATCACATGACAAAGCCGACATCTTTGGCTCTTTCCATTGATCGGTGATCTGCTGTGTCCGAGGGACACAGCGCACCACCGATCGCCGCGCTGTATGGCCGCGGTCAGAGTGGGAGGACGTCATATGATGTCCTCCCAGAAAGAGAGAACCGCCTTGCGCCCGTCATTTCCTTATATGGCGGGCGGGAGGCGGTTAAAAAAAACTGATCAGAAAGGCTCTTTATTGCAAATGAGACATACAATGCCCCTTCTGCAGTAAAATACACTTACCTGCCTGTTCACCATTATCTGGAGGATTTACACTGAGCAGTGCATGGTTAATAGTAGTGGTGCACCAAAATGAAAATTCTGGTGCCGAAAACAAAAATTCAAAGTGCACTTGGACGAAACCGAAATGCGCTGTTTTTAAAAATTAATATTTATTTTTTGGAAAAAAAATACACTGATTAAAAAAAAATATACCCCAATTTCTTTGTAAAATATGAAGGAGGATGTTACAGCTAGTAAATAGATACACATGTCACACTTTAAAATTGCACACGTTCGTGGAATGGCGTGAAACTGCGGTACTTAAAAATCTTCATGGGTGATGCTTTAAAAATGTCTACAGGTTAGCAGTGTAAAGTTATAGAGGAGGTCTAGTGTGGGAATTCTTGCTCTTGCTCTGACGTTCGTGGTGACACCTCATGTGTGGTTTGAACACCGTTTACATATGTGGGCATGGCCTACGTATGCGTTCACAACTACATGTGAGGACGGGAGCACTTTAAACTTTAAAAAAAAAATTTATTTAATTTTTTTTTTTTTTTCGAACTGTCCCTTTAAAAAAATTTTTAATCACTTTTATTCTTATCACAAGAAATGCATGCATCCCCTGTGATAGAAATCTTTAGTGACAGGTCCTCTTTATGGAGAGATGTGGGGTCTATAAGACCCCACATCTCTCCTCTGCAATGTAAAGCATTGGATAAAAAAAAAGCATTGATCTAGTGCCTTAAAAAAAAAGATGGCTGGAACCAAAAGTGACATCACTCCGGTCCTCCAAGGGCATAGAGATGAGTGGAGGCCATCTTTCCTTCACTCATCTCTATGCCCAGCGCATGGATCGTTCGATAGTTTCTCAGGTAAGGCTGAGAACTGGAGGGTGGCGGGTTTTTTTTGGCACCTGTATCGGTGCTTTTTTTCATATCGGCCAACGGTCGAAAGGGGTGTTTTCGGCCGAAACGTTTCAGCCACCAAAATTTCTGTGCATCCCTAGTTAAAAGCGTGTTCATCAGATGAACTTCAGGACCTTCAACAATGTGGCTGGTGTGTAAGGCAGGACCTGGAGGATACCAAGAAGTACCTGAAGGGACACTTTGAAGAGGAATCCAGGCACATTGTCTTCCATTCCAGGGTGGAAAATCTGAAAAGTTCAACTCCACTATTTTTCAGGAAGCTCCACTCAGCGCATACATCCCTGCCTGAACTGCACAACAAGACCAGAACAAAAAAATTCTGGAAAGGGAAAGAGGCTGTGATGAAAGTGGTCAGTGACTACTACAGCAACCTCAACTCTCTGAAAGAGACAGACATGACTACGGCCGACAGATTCTTGTCAGGTATCACCAAGTTGATAGTACATGTTGTCAGCCACCGATTCTCAAATGATGTTGGAGGGGCACCACTCTCCCATCACATCCTTTAGGTGGAGTAGGACCACTGGCTGAGACAGTCTGCCAGCAGAGCTTTATGGTATGCTGTGGGAACTCATTAGTCCAGACCTACTCGAGCTGTCTGAGGACTGATTCCCTCCTTCACTCAGGGAGTGTGTTATGATCATGATTTTGTATAAATAGAAGAGAAATGTGACTTAGAAAAATATGACATCCCATCTCTGTCCTGTATGTGGATCTCAATATCCTCAAGGTACTGGCCTAAGGCTATCACCAAACTGATCATCCACCTGGATCAGACTTGTGGCATTTCTTGTCATAGGATTGTAAACAGTCTTGCACTTGTCCAGGACACGGTCCAGTTCATCAAAGACTGCCATGTGCTTGCAGCCCTGGACAGTCTTGACCAGGAAAAGACTTTTTACCATGTCTGCAACAGATTCATGTGCAGAACCCGGCACAGATTTGGGCTTGGGGAAACTTTTTGTTCCTGTGTTGACCTGATGTACTATGACATTTGCAGTATGGTGTTGGTGAATGGCTGGAAAATGGACCCCTACCTGGTTCCTTCTGGGGTCAGGCAAGGCTGCCCTCTAAAAGATAAAAGACAAATGCGAGCGCACATCAGAAAAGTCAGGCGCTAAGCACCAAAGGTAACCAACAAACCTCAAATAACCAAAATATAAACGAAAAGCGCAGCGCTAAAATCAATATATTAAAATCAGGTACATATAATATTTAAAAACAATGTTCATAAGGTGACTAAAAGTGTTCGTGGAGATATTGTATTCAAAGGTGTTCTACGATTTCTTTCTCTAACTCAGTACCGGTGCGATAAGGTGTAGAAAAAATGCACACTCACCGGAACGCATAATATAATGCGCATAAATATATGTAAACTCCTAATGTCATCAGAGGTCATCCAAATGGGGGGTGGAGATCCCTCTCCAGGTGTACAGGTCCTGGTGCTCCTGATGTGGATCAAATAGGTGCCAGAGTCCACTTTAAGGGATGGATGGGTGCAGCTCAACAGGTATACAGGAGGCTCCTTCTCTGGATGCTGGGTTGTCTGCAAATTAATACTCCCCAAGGTAGTCAAAGTAGGAAAATACCCATAGTGTAGTACAGTGGTCGGCAAGCCGCGGCTCGCGAGCCACATGCGGCTCTTGACACAATTTAATGCGGCTCTTCTGTGTGCCGGGCGCCCGCTCCCCTCCCTCTTCTCGGGCGCCCGGCACATTGGCTGTCAGGATGTAGGCGGGGCAGCGTGACGAACTCCTCTCCTCTCACAGTCCGCCCTGAAAGGTAAGTGAATAGACACAATATGGGGAATGAATTACTATAGGGGGGATGAATTACTATGGGGGATGAATTACTATATGGGGGATGAATTACTATATGGGGGATGAATTACTATGGGGGATGAATTACTATATGGGGGAATTACTATGAGGGATGAATTACTATGGGGGATGAATTACTATGGGGGATGAATTTCTATGGGGGATGAATTTCTATGGGGGATGTATTTTCAGTTTTAAAAATGTGGCTCTCAAAATAAACTTCAATCGTGGTTTTGGCGAGATTTGGCTCAGTTGAAAAAAAAGGTTGCCCACCACTGGTGTAGTATTAACTTGTTTAATTGGGTAAGATAAAATATCCAGGTAAAAGATCAGACATCCAGGTATGTTAATGCAGGTAAAAACAGAGCAATAGCTGTGTACAATGTGTGCAAATGGGTCTAACCGTCCACAGTCAAAGATGGCCGCCGGAGCTCCACATTGCTCCGGCGGCGTGACGTCACGGCGTTATTGGCACCTTGCGCGTTTCGTGCACCCACACGTCGTCTGAGGGGAACACCAACGCCTGTCCAATCCCTGTACCTTTTGCAGGATATCAGTCTGTCCCTGATGTTTTTCCTGGAGAGAAGTGGCCCTTCTTGACACCAGGCCATCCACTCATGCACTCACACCTGTCTGCTGCCATTCCTGAGGAAGCTCTGCACTGCTGGTGCCCCGATCCCGCAGCTGAAT